AAGCGTGGTCTACAATGGCAGTAGGAGTAGTGGATTAAGGCTGTAAGACGTCGGAGTAAGCTCGTGTTTCCAGTGTAGTAGGCGTAGAGTAAGGCTGTAAGCAAAATGGTTCAATTCCATTTCGTACGACTACTCCCTTACTCTCAGCCACTGATAATCAGTTCACGAAATAGGTTAAAGTTGAAACCCTGATCTCGTTTGCGCCTGTTCACAGGCCGAACCCACCACCTCCGACCGATAGATCTTTTCGTTTGCATAATACACCATTGAAGAGTCAAGAGCTGACTCCATAATAATATAAATAACACAAATCCAATTCTTCGCACATTCATATTCACCAACAACGGTAACATTTGTGTAATAACATTGGTTAACACTGATTAGCTCATTATAATCCTTACTCTACACCATTGTAGACACTCGGGCGTAAAGGGACCTTAATCCTACAGCCTATGTCTAACGCCTACTTCTTTAATCCACTACTCCTACTGCCATTGTAGACCACGCTTTCCTCTTTTCCTGAACTTATTAAATGTTTTATTTTTAGGGCGACCCTGGTGGACCTCTCATTGTAGTAGATGAAAATGGCGTAGACCATCAAGTCGGTATCGTGACTTACGGAAAAGTGCTTTGCCCTAGCAACGCACCTGGAGTGTTCACCGAAGTTAGCAGATATAGCGACTGGATTCGCCGTGTGATTGAGATTGTACATAACCTGAGTATTATGCCTTTTTTCATGAGGAAAAAGATTGATTGGGGTAACTTGGTTGGGATAACCAAAAAAATGGTCGCCTGAAACCAAGTGCCTTGGTTATATATGCGCCAGCTGATTTCTTGGTTACACGTACCAACGGCACTTAGTTCGACTGCAATAGTTGGAGCAACCAATAGTACTTGGTTATGCTATAAGCTATGGTCGTTTGTTTTTATTTTTTTTAATTTCAATTTGATGTTATGAGAACTAATTGCCGTGGTTCCTTCTGGTTAACCAATCGGAATACAATTTCTTGGTTACTTTAACCAATTGCGTTGGTTATAAACACCAACAGTCCCTATCAAGTTTGAATTGCCAGACTAACCAAGTGTACATGATTATGGTAACCAAGTCAATCGTTATAGCAACCAATATACAGGAAAAACTTTGTGAATTTAACCAAGCCTTTCTTTCCGTGTGCACTATCACTGAAAACGGGTACAAAAATAGTACTGAATAATCCAGTGTTATACTTATTACTGTGAATCAGTGAATATTCCCTATTTTCAGTGATCCACTGAGAGTACATAGTATAATAATGTATGAATATCTGATTAAATTGTATATTCATTGAAGAATATGACCATTTCTTCGATCAAATTTTATCGGTAACTGCATTTCATCGAATATATCCAAAATTTATTCGGGAAACTTGATAAGAAAATTAAATTTTATAATAATCGTTGGCAACACTATTTAATCGGTTTATTTAATGGAAATTTTTCACAGAGCAATGCGTAATATCGTGTGAACCAAAATTTTAATGAGCCAGTAAAAAGAATTAGTATTAAAATGTATTTAATTAACAAATAAAAAACTTTCAGGAGATAAGTTACAAATATGTGGCACAAATGTAAAAAATAATAAATCAGTGGAAAAAAAGATAAAAAATTTTTTTCATATAACAGCGTCCGCTGTCGCGCAAAACGTCTCTGGCTAATTACTCTCGTTCTACGAGTAAAAAATTAAACGATATTAAGATAAAATCATTCGAATCTAAGCATCGCGAAGAATTTGATTTGATGTGTTTCGTGAACGCTTGAGCAAAAATTGCGTCGAGAATCTCCCCTTGCTGACAAATGGCTCGGGTCTCGTAATCAGAGGAATCGTAACCCCTTCTCTTGGCAAAATTTTAACGCGCCTCAAACTTCGAATTTGAATTAAAATTTTAAGCCAGACACTCACAGCTGGATTTGACGTGCGACTACAGAGAAAACAAGAGAGAGAGAGAGAGAGATACGGACAATTTAACAAATAAAACCCCCTCTGGGGGGGGGGGTGGAGCGCTCGTACATACAATTGAAGAAAGGGAAATCCGGTCTCGCTCTCCAGCACCACGGTAAGTAAAGCCTTTCCCCGATTTTATTTCACGAGCTGGCGCACCGCGAGATCGTGCAAGACTGCAGAAAGTCGGGACGAGCCGGTCCGGGAACGAAGAGACCAGACATCTCGGGATTTTAACCATGCTTTTAATTAAAATTCGAGGTAGCCTCTCGCGTGGGCTCGCAAAAGGAAGGATACGCGCGAGCTTGAAAAAACGCCTGCCAGCGGAACGATCGCTATTTTTCTTTTACTTTTTGGGGAATCCCGGATAGAAACTTCACACGGGCGATTCGGTTCATCAAGGACGCAAGCGGCACGGTCGCGAGTCTTCATGGCGTTGCGAGAAAGGAAGCTCGCATCTTCTCAAGTTTTACCTTTGACTTCCTGCAACATCACGCATCAGCGGCGTCTCCAATCACGCGAAATGTTTCACACGACTGCACGTCAAATCTTGGAGCGTGAACTAATTGAAGATCAAGATATGTCAAGATATGTAATATCAAATTTTCTTTGAAAACTTGCTAGACAAGATAAGCGACCAATTAAATTTCAACTGAAGGAGAGAACTGTCTTCGCAAATTGGTCAAAGAGACGCTGAAAGGAATGATGAAGTACTCGAAACACACACACACACACACACGCACACACGCACACACACACACACACACACACACACACACACACAGTTCGTATTGTACATTACTATATGTACTTATGAAAGGCAGTGAAATACGACGTCATGTCATTAGGTTTTTCTAACTAGAATCTTTGACGGTTGTCTTTTTTGACAAAAAGCTGCGACTTTTTCTAAGCATCAATCATCATTTCTGACGCGCAATTGTATTTTACCCTCTTGCGCCCAAACGCATTGATCTTCCACTGTTACATTTGATAGATTACGGTTAAAGTATTATAAAAACGGTTAATACGTATTGCTTGTACAATATATATTTATCTCATGTTTATTAAATTAGCAATGCATCTGTGGCGCACTTGTAACCGAAAGTGAATGTACAGGGCGATTCCTAAGTGAGTGTAAAAAAAACAGGAATTATTGATTTTATCTTAATATAGTTTCATTATTTTTACTGCATGAGGTCACGACAAATTTAAACGTGTCAAGAGTTTTGTATCTTGTTACCAGAACTCCCTTCTAAGAGGGCGCGAGCGAAATAACGATTACGTTTGATCCTAGACGTTATCGAGGAAACCCAATGCAACTGCGCTGTTAGCGCAGAAATCGTCTCTGTTTCGAAAACGCACGCCCGATTTCAAACACCTTTTGATTCACGGCCCGCTTGTTACCGCGCCTTGTCGTTGAAAAACTCGAGCCAGCTATGACTTCTGAGTCCTCACCGACGCATCAATCACCCCGTATTGCACGAGAGGACCCCATCCCCGGCGATACGTTCCCCTCGTCCGCTCGATACCTCGCGATCGCCCCGAGTTACGGTGGAAAATCGCCGCGTGAGTAAAGTTGTTCTTAACAAAGGAACGCTGACTCGGCCGTTATGAAAGAAGCCACGGGCTTTCAGCTTTATCCATTTCCAGTAGCGGTGCTTCAATTTGTGAGGTCGATCGCGGGAGATCTCTCAATGAAAAATAGACGTAGCGCAAGAAACGAAATAACAAATTCATTTTCCATAACATAATAATAATAATAACGTAAAGTAGCCAGTAAAACGTGTGTACTTTTCGCTAGAACGTAGAGTGGATATAAAACGAGCGAATAATATTGTACGTCGGAGGCAAAATATTTTCTAAGATAATGTTCGATATAAAGAATCTTAAAAATAATAAGAACAATCACATCACGTGTTTTTAATCTAACTACACGACGGAATGATTAAGACATTGGTCGTGTGTTTTGTTAATACGCAAATAACAGATTAAAGGAAAATATTCGATTCTTATTAAAAAGACCCATAGCCCTCCTGCTTATTTTAATTTTTTGTCCTTTGCAATTCCCTGGTTTTAAACATTATTTTCAATTTTTCACACAGTCCAACGATCAGATACGACAATGTCGGATCAGATACGTCGAAATGGCATAAACTTAACACGTTTAGAGAACGCGTTATAATGTTAGACCGACAAACTTTTGAAATGAGCTGATACACGTTGAATACTGAATAGAAGGCCATAAACCCTGCTAATTTCCCTCCAGCTCACCCTTTTCTGACGTTGCCTTCTCGACAATCCTGTAACTGCAGATCCCTTTGCCGCTATAAACTTATAACGAATTCGGTTGCTTGCACTAGCGCACACTGAGTGCACACTAAGGCTTGTTTATTGTCAATTCTTAGACTTAATTTTGCCTTAAATACATGTTCAAAGTATCTAGTTAAAAAATGATGCGTATGAACGCTGTACGGTTCATATTTTTCTGGATAGGAAATATTTCAAGAGGTATTTAAGACGATTCTCGAATATAAGAATTGACTATAAACGAGTCTCAGTGTGCACTCAGTGCGTTGTGCAAAAAACAACGTTTGGCATTGCGTTAATAATTCCTGTAGCGTGATTACATCGACAAATATTACTTTTTCCACGATCTACCTTTGTGTGGCCGGGCCAGTTTGTTATTTTCACCCAGGCTGAAATAATATTTCTCGCAATGAATTTCTTCTAATTATGTTATAGCCAGTTGGTCGAATTAATTTTATTTGCCAGCCGTTCACAATTCACTGGCGAGGAAGAAGAATTATTATGGGTTTATTATTCTTTGTTGTATTCTCTTCAGTAACGCGACGATCGTTGTGGCAAGAGAAAAGGCTTTGACATGCACAGCTTTCCGTAATTGCTCTAGTTCGGTGTAAAAATCCGGATCTCTCTTTTTACAAAACTTTCTATAAAACATAAAAAGTGCTCGGATAAAGTAGATTGATTTCATATTAGTTCACGTCTCCTGCTCTGCCAGAGCTTTTTACGCTTTATGCTCTTGTCAAGTACACTCTGCGACAGCCAACCGTTCCATACGAGAGATAATCGGATACGTCGAAAATCAGGAAACTCTATCACGTACGGACATCGACGAGAGTCTATAGCTATAATTTACTTTTTATTCCTTTCCATTCCTTTGAATCAAGTGATGTTTCCATCTCGGCGGGCGACAGCGCGTGACTCTTTTAAGAAACAAGGGCATGTTTGAGGGAAAACGGGGAAAAATATGTAGAACCAATAAGCGAGAGAAACAAATGCTGATTTATACGTAATTAAATCGCGACAATGACCCGCTGAGTCACGGAGGAAATTCAGAAAATTCAAGCTGCGGAAGAATAAGATCGCACAGTAGGTGAAAAAAGATTGTCTTGGCGATCGCCTGGCCAGTGTGATGAACAGAAAGAAGGGGGGGTGTCAATAAAACGACGTATAAATCACGCGAGGGGTGTGCACCGAGAGCGGGTCATATAAGCGGAAGTGCATACAAAGTGCGGTCGTCCCTGTAACGTCGTAAAGCGCATCGTTCACTTCCGGCTCGGCTGATCGTTGAGAAAATGTCAAAGTGCATACCCAGCCGTGGGTCTGGAGCGGCGAACGCGGTGCAAACGTCTCTTTTACGGGCCCGTCTGCCGTAATCCGTTTTTGATGAATCGCAAAGACTTGCGTGCCGTCGCGAGACGAGATTATGCGTGCGACTGCACGCGGTTTTCGTTTTACGGATGAGTATACTTTGGGAATCCCCCGCGTATTTCGTACATAGGTGCAACACACGACGGGATCCACGGTGCAGGGGAGAGACTTTTCACGTGCAAATAAGACGAAAGTGTGCAGAGCAGGATTTTTTTAATTAGCTCGTTAAGGGAAATTAGAGGCGTCATTTTCCAGAGATTCGCTATCTGAAAATTAAAATTTCAAGAACGCTCTATGTCTTCCTTGAGAAAAGCTTTAAGAATGCGTGTGCTATTATTTAATCAAAACAAAAAGGAAACTTTTATAGAATAGTCAACTGCACGGAGAGAATTTTCTCCCAAAACTTACTCTGAAAATTATGCAATCGTGGAACAACGTGGCATTTTGAAGATATTTATAAGAGTGTTCTGAAATTTTACCATACATTTTACTAGTAATGTATGCTAACAGTATAATTACTAGTGTTGTCCCACTATTACATAACTTTCTCTTATCTAAGAATTTTTTTTAATTCCTCGAGATGCCACGTTGTCCCACGATTACATAATTTCCAGGGTAAATTTTAAGAAAAACTTCTCCCCGTGTAGTAGAGTAGTTAATTCCAGATAAAGGGTAATAATGGAAACGTTTTGCAACTATTAAATTATAATAAATGGTAACGTGTTTTAAATTAAGATTAATAATATCAAATATTTCAATTGCTTTTCTCCTGCCATTTGCAATTGAATCGGGTTTTTTTTTCATCTGAAATATACGTCCCGATTAAAATTATCAGTCCAAAAACGGTTAATATTATCTCATATTTATCGCAAAATGTCTATATAATATAATGCGTATAATGTGTTGTAATTGCGTTTAACTTTGCAATAAATTTCATTGAAATAACGATCGGGGGGGAAATAATATATGCTGAGTTACATACCCACGTTTACACGTGAAACGAATTTTATCACAGAAAATCA